AATCCAGAGGTCTGAACTCGGTCTGTTAGCCGCGCTAGGTCCGCAAACCTATTCGTATTGTTCGAGTCATCTTGACAGGAACTTTTGGTTTTCTGTACTTAACTCGAGCTGTAGGACAGCTACAGAGCTGGTAAGCACAGCTAATCGATGTAGAATGATTAGGCGCGTTCGTCTGTTGAATCCAGAGGTCTGAACCCGGTCTGTTAGCCGAGCTAGGTCCGCATACCTATTCGTATTATTCGAGTCATCTTGACAGGAACTTTTGGTTTTCTGTACTTCACTCGAGCTGTAGGACAGCTACAGCGCTCATTTCCACAGAAACCGATTCTGAATTATCAGTTGCGTTTGTCTATCGATTGCAGAGCTCTGAACTCGGTCTGCTGCCCGCTCTAGAATCGCGAAACTATTCTTATTGTTCGAGTCATCTTGAGAAGTGCTCTCCGTCTTCTTCACTCAACTCGCGCTGAGGGGGGGGGCTACAGTGCTGGTGGTCACAGGGATCGACGTGAAGACATCAGACACGCCCGCCTGTCGAATCCAGAGCTCTGTACTCTGTTTGCTGCTCGAACCAGGCCCCGCGAAACTATTCGTATAATTCGAGTCATTCTGAGAGGTGCTGTCGGTTTTCTGCACTTACCTCGGGCTCTAGGGTCGCTGTGGGCTGGTAATGACAGAAGTCGATTCGCAGATAACAGTCGCGTCCGCCTGTCGCATTCAGAGGTTAGAAAATATTCACTATGAGTCGGAATGTTGGTAGATGCTGTCGGTTCTGTCAACTTAAGTCGAGCTAGGAAGCTCTACGAGTCTCCCGGCGGTAACCAAGGTTGACGGTTTACCGCCGGCGCCCAGTAATTCCGGGGCGCTGGAGAGCTAGTTGGCAAGAAAAATCTCGACGGACCTTTTGGTGACTTTTGGTCGGTTGAAAATTTTGTTCTCAAAATACCTCGTAGAGCTCTTCGGCATCGATGAGCTAGAGGAATTCCGGCGCGGGGTGGAGCTAGTTGGTCGACCCGACCAGAAAGGACAATGTGTTAACTTTTGGTTGGTTTTGCTAAGATTCGAAAGATATTGGACAATTCATTTTGAGAAAGCAGATTTTTACTCCGAGCATTGACATATAAACTTTGTTCCCTGAGCAGCTCAGCCCTCTAAAACCATTTTCAGTACCAGTTCACTTGGAGCAACCGACTTCACGTTGACTCCGAAAAATGTCGACTTGAAGTTTTTGTATAAAAGCTCTCAGAAGCTCTCGCTTTGATTCTGAGCTTTCTCACGGATGCAAGGAGCTCTACGAGGTTCCCGGCGGTGACCAGGTTGACGGTTCACCGCCGGCGCCAGTTTGACCATTCGTTAGAGCTCTAGTATTTTTTCCCATGATATTCGATCTTATTCCCGCTCGCTATCTTGATCTCAGCTCGATCGGGTACCTTTTACTGCCAAAAAGCACACGGGCGGGATCGGCCGTTTCGAGTCATCTTGATACGCGCTGTCAGTTTTTATCAAGATAACTCGAGCTTCAGAACAGCTACAGAGCTGTAAGCACAGCAAATCGATGCAGAATGATCAGGCGCGTTCGCCTGTTGAACCCAGAGGTCTGAACTCGGTCAGCTGGCCGAGCTAGCTCCGCAACCTATTCGTATTATTCGAGTCATCTTGACAGACGCTCTCGGTTTTCTGTACTTAACTCGAGCTGCAGGACAGCTACGTAGCTGATACGTACAGAATCCGATTCCGAATCATGAGTGGCCGTTGTCTGTTGAATCCAGAGCTCTGAACTCGGTCTGCTGCCCGATCTAGAATCGCGAAACTATTCTTATTGTTCGAGTCGCTGCGAGATGCTGTCGGTTCTCTGCACTTAACTCGGGCTGTAGGGGGGCTGCATGGCTGGTAATCTCTGGAATCGATTCGGAGACATCAGGCGCGTTCGCCTGCGGAATCCAGAGCTCCGAACTCGGTCTGTTGCCCGAACTAGGTCCGCGAAACTATTCGTATTGTTCGAGTCATCCTGAAAGGTGCTGTCGGTTTCCTGCACTTAACTCGGCAGCAGGGGGCTGCAGGGCCGGTGATCACAGCGATCGATTCAGAGACATCAGACGCGTCCGCCTGTCGCATGCTGAGATCTGAACTCGGTTTGATACTCGAACTAGGATTGCCAAACTATTCGTATTGTTCGAGTCATCTTGAGAGGTGCTGTCGATTTACGCACGTAACTCGGGCTGTAGGAGAGCTACAGAGCTTGTACAGAAGACAATCTAGAAG